GTTCGGTTCCATCTCCTGGGGCCTCTGTGGCGGCTTCCTGATGTGGTTTTCATTATTTATCCAACATCTATTGGATAATATTGGAGCCAGGTCTGGGCTGTGCTGCCATATTGGCAGCAGGACGACGGCGTGAGCAACATTCAGCCGAAGTTAAAAAGGGGGAAAAACTGCACCTTCGACCTTGTCTGAACCTGGAGCGGCAGACGTCTGTGGTCATTCTCCAGCTCTGCTGAACGCCGTCGACGATGAAACAACAGGGAAACGGCACAAAGAGCAGCTATTTCCCTAAGCACAACTGCACACAGTGTGAATGGAATGTTATCAATTCCCCTTCCTGCCACTGCAGACACAAATATGGGCCCCACATATGAGATTACTCACCTGCCAAAAGCAAACAGTGGCTAATGTATCTCTGGCTTGAATTAAATTTACCGTGGGGTGTCATCTTTAAGCTGTCCAATGCATTGTGGGACGGAGCGGCTTTAATCAGCCCGGCCCGGTGCAGCCGGCGGATTAAATCACTTTTTATCTGCGCGTCCTTTGACTTTGTCGGTGCTCAGGGTTGCGGCGTAAATCACGCAGCGTCACTTCACTGTGGGTCACCGTTTTAGTCACAATTCATAAATTCCATTTATTCTGTGTACGCAGTAAATTCACACGGAAACCGGCGGGTGTTTACGGGAAATAACAAAAAATTGTGTCTATGTCCGTGCACACACGTTCTACACACCAAACTTTTCCACGGAGCTCCTGCTCAAGTTTGTATCCGCGTGCGCACGCACCCGCTTCCGACAACAGCGTCGGGCAGAGCGGCTGCCGCGGTGCACACGGAATAGCCAAACAGCTGCAGCGCTCCATCAGGGGCTATCGATCATGTCCCTCTCTCTGAATCACAATCAGATGTGGGCAGAGCAGAGCGGCTGCAGCAGGGCCTCGCCGTGACTGGCCGGGTGGACGAGCAGCTACACACCTCTCATATCAACCAGAGCTCGGCAAACAAACCTGACCTGGACTGAACGCACGTGAAATGCAAGAGCTGGAGTTTTTGTCCAACTTACAGGAGTCTATGGAGGATGAAGTCATCCAGTTCCTGGTGGAGGGTGGAGGGGTACGGTGAGGGAGGGGTGGGGGGGTACATTCATGTAACAATGTAGTAAAAATGTCTAACCCTGCTCTCTCTGTATAGAGTGTGTCTGTTCTCCCTGTGGTTGTTTCCTGGTACTGCAGTTCAGGAACTACAGTAGGTTTAAACCAGTTAGCATTGGTTAACTGGAGCACAGGTGTGGTGAATGTGAGTGTGAATGGTTGTTTATCTCTGTATACCTATAATAGACACTGTACTGTCCAGGGTGAGCCCCACCCTCAGCCAACGCCTGCTATGATTGGCTCAATTATCTAAAGGTATAAAAAATGACTTTTCAGATTCAGTTCCTTCTCTAACTAAGAACCACGAGGCGACTCCAATGTCACAGGTTAATGAATTACTTTAAGAACACATGTCGTTTCCGACTGTCACCACCCATGACAACAGTCGGACCCTTCAGACACGACTCCACTCTGCACAGACGCTACACCTTCGACTTCGTCTCATTTCAGGCTTAATGGCAGGAGTAAGGAAGCTGGTGGAGAATCATTAGCCGCCATCTGCCGCCATCCCAACACACTGTATATCAACCCAACACTACATGTAACCAGGAGGAAGTCAGATGTGATTACATTAAAATTTCAACAGGAACCATCCATGGCGTCGTTAGCCACCATCTGTTCGCATCTCCGCGCTCTAGATGAATTTATTATTGTTAATAATATCCATCCATCCATCCATTTTCATCCACTTATCTGTTACCGGGTCACGGGGGCATCAGTCTCCACCCAAATCACATTGCACCGTACCAACCCCCCAAACCTTCCTGCAGGTGGTGAGTCCACTGGAAGGTACCAACCGCCCTAACCGGGATTCGAACTTGCCCAGGAGGTGAACCCTGGGGTTCCACACCAATGACAGAGACGTTGCCTCTGGGCCAAAGCGCCACATCATTAATATTAAATAATATACTAATGTTTTTATTTAAAAAAAATATTTCACATAGGGTGGTACCTCACGTCTTACGGGCAGCTGAGCTGCGACCCCTCCCCACCGTCTCTCCTACACACTCAAACACATAAATACGCACCGGCCTGACAGGCTATGATTGAGTGCCTAAGCTGGAAATGCACAGACTTGTCAGATATGGGTCAGAAAGACTGGCGGGCAGTGAACTTGGAACATTTGGAAATCCATGCGTGTCTATGTGTTTGTGTTTGTTTACGCCGGTGTGCCGTGCATGTGCGTGCGCTAGGTTCTAAATGCTAAATGGTGAGAAAAAAAAGCGCTCCCATTAGCATGATATGGATGTTGACATTCCATTCAGGTCAAAGTCATCGCTGCGTGACCATATTTGTGCTTATGTGGTTTTGTCTGTGTGTGTATGTGTCAAGTCCCTCACAGTGTTTGTAGTCAGGGCTGCCACACACACACACAAACACACACACACACACCATCATAAAGCTGTGTGTGGCAG